CAGTCAGCTGAAGTGGCTGCAGTACAGCACTCTAACCACTGCGCCACCTCGGCTCTATGCCTCCCAGCAATTTGCCTCTTGCAGCAAACAGCAAGTTTCACTTTCGATTTCAGTTTAAGCATGGGCCTCCCAATCATCAGCTGTTTCAGGCTGCAGGGATTGCCGCCTCCGCAAGCCCCATTTTTCCGTTTACAGCAAGGAGGTAAATTGCTGGGAGTCAGAGGCCAAGGGGCGAGCGTGGGTGGGGCTACATTCAGTGTATAAGACACACCCAAATTTTCACCCTCTTTTGGGGGAGGGAAAGGTGCGTCTTATACTCCGAAAATACTGTAATTGTTTTCGCCAGTAAATTTCCCTGCATGGCCTGGCCAAAATAGGTGCGATGCAGTTTTGTGATTTTTGCCTTCTAGTGATATATGTCTGATGTTATGCGTTCCAGTACTTGCTTGTTAAATATTACCATCTAATAACTGTGGTGCCTTACTCTGAAAGGCAATAACTTATTAAGATATGTTTGTATGTATGGAGGAAATAGCAACGTGTGAGGAAAAACACAGGTTTTTGTTTTACGAGAATGAACTATTTCTTAATGGAATTGGACTACTGAACTCTCTGTTGATTTTGTTATATTGCCTGTTTTGCCTTTTTAGCTGGTGGAACTCAAAAATGGTGAAACTTACAATGGTCACTTGGTTAGCTGTGATAACTGGATGAACATCAATCTTCGAGAAGTTATCTGTACATCAAGGGTAAGGACAGCTTCTATGCTTTTCTGTTATGGATGATGACTGCTGATTTTTACAAAGGAGGACAGAAATGAAATCAGAAGAATGATTGTGTAGAAAACAATTATATAGGCTTTAGAAATTGCTTGACTGTTGACCTTTGTTGCTGCAGTTAAGTGAATCACCATGGTCATTAAATGAATCACATAGTTGTAAGTCAGCAACACCTGACTTTCCCCATCAATCTTGCTTGTTAGAAGCTGGCTCAGAAAGTCACAAATGCGATCATGTTCCACCAGGGCAGTAGTAAGTGTGAGGACCAGTTGTAGGTCCTTTTTTTTCAGGGCCATGTTAACTTTGGACATTAAGCAAATAAGGCATTAGTCAAAAGTTGGACCATAAGAAATTTGGACCATAGGACAGGCTGAGCACCAAAGAATTGAGGCCTTTGAACTATGGTCCTGGAGAAGATCCTGCGAGTCCCTTGGACTGCAAGGCAATCAAACCGGTCAGTCTTAGAGGAGATCAACCCTGACTGCTCTTTAGGAGGCCAGATCCTGAAGATGAAATGCAAATACTTTGGCCACCTAATGAGAAGGAAGGACTCACTAGAGAAGAGCCTGATGCTGGGAAAGATTGAGGGCAAAAGAAGAAGGAGGCGACAGAGAATGAGGTGGCTGGATGGAGTCACTGAAGCAGTAGGCATGAGCTTAAATGGACTCCAGAGGATAGTAGAGGACAGGAAGGCCTGGAGGAACGTTGCCCATGGGGGGTGGAGATGCGTCAGACATGACTTTGTAACTAACAACAACAACAAAACC